CCCCCCCATGGCCCTGGAACGGTCCCAGCTCAGCCTGGGAACATCTCCGGCTGATCCATCTGGATCCAAGTGTGAGAAAAGTTCATTTCAGACCCAGCTTGACATTCCCAGGTGGCAAGTTAGCACTAACATCTCAATCTGTATGCGACATTTCAATCAAGCGAGGAGTAACAAAAGCAGAACCATTAACATTCGGAGCTGTTCACCAGTGGTAATGACGGGAAACTCGCTCAGAAACTGGAAATTACCAAAAAGAGGGAAGTGTGTGGAGAGGTGGGGGAGGGGAGATGGGAGGAGGTGGGGGCAGGGAATGATTTTTCCAGACTTAGGCCAAGATCCAATGTTTGGATTAATGGTGCCATTACCCGAGAAAGGGCTTCAGATTATGCTCATTCTTAAAATGTTTTTGCTGGCAATTAAACGGCTGCAGTTATTGATCTTTGTTGATTTTATGTCCTCCTAATTTGCATAATCTATTAAAGATGAATGATTCACGATGTGTTTATTATGGGGACAAACAGAAATTGCTAGAGGTACTATCAAGGTGAGAAACGGGGCAGTGCCCAGAGACTTCATGCGCCGGCTCAGGAGCAGGTCCAGCATGGTGGCCTTCGGGCCAGGACTTTGTGGGGAGCAGTGAGCAGCGATGCAAGGAGAACAGACACGAGAGAGGTGGACTTGGGCTGTGTTCTTCTAGAAGGATCTTGGCATCTGTGACAACTTCAAGCCCAGCTGGGATACGGGAGAGGCTTTTGGTGTATTTGTGGAAATTCCCCTCGGAGAGTCTTAAAAAGCTTATTTGGTTGGAGAATATGAAGGGCTTGGGTGGAGAAAGAAAAGGGGAGGCTCGTTCTGGCCAGGCATGTGCTAAAGGGGAGGGAGCAGGGAGGTCATCCGTGCCCACAGCCTGGCTTGGGCGTGCTAAGGTGTTCAAGGAACCCTCTTCATCCCCGCCGTGCCTCAGGCACCCAGCTCGCCTTCCTCCCCGGGGGACAGGCAGCTGAGGCTATAAACCTTCAGGTGTGAGCCCTGAGGAAACCGGCCCAGCAAGGCCCTAGCCCAACCTGAAGAGCCGACCTTATTGATATTCCTGCCACCTCCTGGCACTGGAGGCTGATTTCAAACTTCACCAGCCACTTGATACAGCTGTTCCACAAGGTCAGGACTGAGAGGAGAGAGGAGCCTTGGCTATTGTGTGGAGGGGAGAGTGGGGCCCAGTGGGCCAGGACACAGCTAATCACATTGCAAGCAAGGGTGGCTGCCAGCGACTGGGGCCTGGCCTGATAGCCTCCCCTCCCCACCTTCCATCTTGGAACCAAGGAGAGAGACCGATTTTTCTGGGTAGTGTTTGCAAGTTCTGCCGAGATTTTAATTTCACTGCATCACAACTCAGCAAGCTGCCAAGTCAAGCTGGTTATTTAAATTTATCACCCACTTTCCCTTCCGCCGCTGGGCTGCTCTAGCTCAGCGGCGTCTCTTCTCTCCAGCCCACTGCTCTAGGCTGCTGGTCTGGAACGGAGCCGAGCGTCTCCGAAGTGATAAGGAAAAAGGGACCAGCTAGATGAGAGAGTGGGTTGGGGGTACTCTGGCCCCAGGCTTCCTCAGGTTGGCTGGCTGATGGCTGGTGCCTTCTATCACTTCTCACCCTTCCAAAGGACTCCATAGGGGGCCGCCATCGACCCCTCAGTAGTCCCAGGGACCTCTAGGTCAGGACTTCAGTGAGGACTCTGGCTCCAACTGCGTGCCTGCCGATGCCTTCAAATCTCCCACCACTGGTAGGAAACAGCCCTTCTTCCCCCGCTAGCCCCACCCCAACCTCTCCCTTCCTGTGTCTGTCCAGGTCTCTAGCCATAGAGGAGCATGAGGGGACACTGGCAACAATGTTGATCTGAGAGAAGATGAGTACTAGTTTCGGGATCTCCCGAGTCCCTTGGAGACGCGCCTGAGCATTGAGAGAGTCCCTTGACCTGGCGAAAGTCCACCCTGAAGGGGAGAGCAGGTTCCCCACCCTGGAGGCCAAACGGAGCGAGTCAGGGATGGTTCGGCGGCTCTCCGTGCTTACCCTGGCCTCCCAGGAACCCAGCGGCCCCTGGACTTGATGCACAAGTGGGCTTCACTGGCCTCTAGTGGGCATCAGCACCAAGCACCAGGAGAGATGCACGCGAGCGTAATCCTTGCCGCCCTCCTTTTAGTCCCAGAGAGGTAATGGGGGAATGAGGCCAATGTCCAGAAACCAGACAGGCTGCACTCACCAAAACACCGCTGGGTAAAATGTAACAACAAGAATTGTTAATACACAGACAAGTCTCACTCTGTGGCACCAGACGTAGAGGGAAACTCAAAGCCCGGGCGATCTGTGAGAGACTGAGGGTATCGCACTGGAGGTGGACCCTAACTGGGGGACGTTGGGGTTGTAACACACCAGAGAGGAGCCATGACCTTGGGTCCAAAAGAAGCAGGACGCTAGAACTGAGCATTACCCCGCATAAAGCCAGGGACAGAGCAGGACAACACTGTCCGTGAAAGGGAGACACATAAACGTATCCCAGTGGGTCCAGGGAAGCAAGCAAGGGGGAAAAATGGTCTCCATGAAAAATGGCACCCTGAAGCCTGACCCTGGTACAAGAGTTCAAGTTTATACCCGAGAGTGTGACAGGAACTCCCCAGCCAATAGCTGGCATGAAAATGTGTCTAGAATAGTGACCCACTCAGAAACCCCAGCAGGGACGAGGGCAGACCTTCTCTGTAGGGGCAGTCCCCAACCTCGGGCACCTGGGACTCCGCCACTGAAGTTGAGCTTGCTACAAAAAAAACAAAAAACAAAAAAAAACCCCACATACTTCATGTGAATACAAGCTATCGTGAGGGAGAGTTAGCAGAAGCAATCAAAAGGAAGATTACTCTCCCCAAGAACGGGACATGGTAGAGCAGTCCAAAAGCATCTATAAAATAAACATGTTTTAGTCTTAAAAAGATAAAAGTTAAGTATCAGTTTTGTGTTTGTTACAGATCTAGATATCACATCCCCCTCCCCGCCACTGCTCAGCCAATCGTCAGGTAATAAAAATCAGAAAGGACAAAGGCTGAAGACCGCACCTATAGCGCATGGTTTTGAGGTCCAGGCGCCATGGAAAGAGCTGCTTCTCCAAACTCCCAGATCAAAGGGTCAGCAGAGAATCTTCCCTTTTCTTTGGAAAAAAATGTCTGAACTTTGGAAAGCTAGGGATGAGGAAAATACATTCCTCCTCAGTGAGAAGAAGAGCCTTGTTAGCTTCCCTACCCTGGCAGTGGGGGGGAGAAGGGGGTCTTATTCCAAGAGTTTGGGAGAAACTTCTCGTGATGCCTTAAGACTGCAGCTCTGAAGGAATCTATAGCTAAGACCCAGGAGGAGATGTGGATGCTGCTC